CTGTTCGTGACATTGTAGTTTGGTTGGGAGGAGTATTCAAATGGGGAATCTAGTTGACAACAAGTTCACTTGGGTAATCCAAAATTTCAACTCTTTGCAAACTGAAATCATCGATTCTGATGAATTCGTGGTGGGTGGCTGCAAATGGTAAGGTTTTCAAGTATTTTAGTCTATGTAGATTTAGGTTATATATCCTCCACAGTGTTTTGGTGATTCTTTTATTCGTGTTTCTTGCAGGTATCTTACTGTCTATCCCAAGGGAAGAAACTCTGATTACTTCACTGTGTTTCTAACAGTTGCCAAACATGGATCATTGCCTTGTGGATGGAGGAGACACGCAAAAGTTTCATTCACATTAGTTAATCAACTCTCTGAAAAACTCTCCGAAAAAGAAGGCGAGTATTTCTACTTTTGCTTAGTTTTATGACACTACATGTTCATGGAACTTGTGCTGCTTGTTTTAACTTGAGTTCCTCTACTATTTGTGATTTTACAGAAACACAACATTGGTTTGATGAGAATTCTCTCTCTTGGGGTTTATTAGACATGCTGCTTCTTACCAAACTTCATAAGAGAGATAGTGGGTTTATGGTAAACGGAGAACTCAAGATTACTGCGGAGGTAGATGTTCTTGAGGTTATTGGAAAACTAGATGCAAGAGAGGAAGTTGAAGAGACAACACAACCTCTGAAAAAGAGAAAGCTAGATAATGATGGTGTGTTGTCTAGTGATTTACTCAACAGCTGAAGGAAGTCAATGGATTTCTAGTTCTTCCTTCACAGGTACGAAACCTAAAATTAGTGCTCAACTTCTCTGTATAGACGTAAAATTAATAATTTACATGAACTTTTTTGTTGATGTTGGAGAGAAGATGTGGTTTCCTGTTATGAAAGTGAGTAATCATTGAAGTACGAGAAATACAAAGAAGTTGGAAAACCAGTTTGTATAAACCCTTGGGATTTAGGGAATATTCATCTTCTTGTTTTCCACTTGCAGATGGAATCTGTGAAGCGTATATTTGAAAAGCACCCGGACATTGCATCAGGAGTCCATACAAAGAGTCCACATATGAGGACTACATACATTAATATCCTCCTTGGACTTATTGAGACGTTGTTACAAAGATACCTCTCTCGTTTGATGATATTGTTTGATGTTCATGAGCTCTCAAAAAACTTGGAGTTTGGTCTTACGTTTGTGTTTTGGTTTCCAAATGAGAGAACTTTGGAAGTTAGAGAGAGACTTGTGTCCCAAGTATTTTCACCTTTTGTTATGAGTAACTATTGAAGATTCACTTAGGTTTAGGGTTTTCAAACTGTATGATAAAAGAAAAAGCTTGATTATGTTGTCTGATCTTGATTTTTTTTTTCAGAAGGCAAAAACTGGAGTAGAGTATGTTGTCTGGTCTAAATTAGTTTTGGTTTAATTCGGGTTCATTTGGTCTGAGATCGGTTTGATTTGAGATCGGTTTGACTCGGAACACTTTAATTTTGATTTTTTTTTCTTAAACCCTAAACGCTACCACTGGAATACGAGTCTGTCACTGAAGAGTGCGATTAAACGATTCCTTGTCACTGTCTGTAATCTCTCATTCGTTTTCGTGCTCTCATTTTTCGATTTCGGTTACAATTCGTAGTGTTTTTTTTTAATGGGCAAGCAAGTTGAGAAGAGATTTTGCTTGGGTTCTGAATAAAAATCTCAACTTTGCAAGACGAGTGCTCCCCCTACGATGTTTACCGCCTGGAACAGGTATTTAGGGAAACGATTACAAAATTTGCAACAAATTTCCTCAATTTCTAATTTTGGGTTTTGGGAAGGAGTTGATTTTTGGTGGGGGTTTGTTTGGTTCTTTTGGCAAGCATTTTTTTTGTTCATTATTGTCCGTGTGTGTAGATCTTGTTAATCATGAATCTTTGCCTTATGCATCGAGAAGATAAGTGAATAAGATTTGGAACAAAATGATACAAAAGTATAATTGGGACAGTGTTTTCATATAAAGTTCATTGCTTTGATTTAGTTTTATGTCGCCTTGATTGTATCAAAGATGAGTCACAGCTTTTCGTGTTAGTGTTTGTACGTTTATTGGAGATTTATGCATCCTTTTTCTTAATGCATCTTTCTTGCACGGTCTACGAAACAGAAACTCCATTGCCGATTGCCTAAGTTGAATTCAACTTTGTTTTAATTATACTTTTTGTTCTCTCCTCAGATTAAGGATAAATGTAGGCATGGGGGTTTTGAGTCAAGTATTATAACTTCTGAGATCTTGTATTTACAGAGAAAACTGGAATTGAGTATGTATGTTTTGTTGAAGAAAAGAATCAGGGCTTGAGGAAACTAAGTTTGATGATAAAGTATTCTTCGCTTTAATCTTCATCACTTTGACCGTTTATTAACTCGTAGTTATGCAGACTATCAACTCATGATCACCTACAACTATAAGTCATGGTCTTCCCATCCGCTCACGTAATTTGAGATTCCTGCATCTTCTTTAACCGTCGAGAAAGATAGAACTACCTCGCTGACCCTGTAAGGTAAGCATATTCTCTTTTTCTGTGTATTTATACTCTGTTTTCTCTTCTTTCTGTACCAGCAGTTCAATTCTCATTATAATTGCTAAGGTAAACAGAGAGAAATTCAACTTATTCATTGATCCTTTAGTCTTTGATCTGGGAGACCCTGCTTGATTTTTTCAGCGTTGTAACTATTGCACTTTGTTGTTAGGAGTGCGATTTATATCTAGTGAGGCTCTGAGTCCATATTTGAAGCTTAGTTTTTTGTTTTTTTTTTTCATTATGTCGCTGGGTAGTGCATTTGATTCTTCGTTGTATATGAATTTGGGGTTTTGTGAAAATCAGTCTAAAGGGTTTTCTTGCTTTCAGGTTCTAGTAGTTTGATTGCGAGGAATTTTTATCACATTTATGGCCGCCTAACAATAAGAAGTCCTAACAATATGAAGTTCGCATGGTTGATAAAGAATTTCTCCTCTTTGCCATCTGACGCGCTTTATTCTGCCTCAGTCTTGATCAGTGACGTCAAGTGGTAAAAATACAACCTTTTGTCAAATGTTCTCGTCGATTTGGATTAACTTGATGTCAATCATCCATACTTCGTTTTGTTGATTCTTTTCTTCGGTTTTCTTCTGGCAGGCGTCTTTATACCTATCCCAAGGGATATCCTGGTAATGATTCTTTAATTGTGTATCTTGATGTTCCTCGTGGTCAATCATTGCCTTCTGGATGGGGAAGATACGTAAACTTTCGCGTAACTTTAGTAAATCAACTTTCAGATCAACTCTCCATACACAAAGGTGATTCATGATGGTTAAATGTCCTTGCCAGTTTCAGTATCATATGCACAATGTAATTTTTTTGACAGTAGCACT